CCCCCCCCCCCCCGAACCTTCGATTACTTTTCCTTATCAGCAACTTGCTTCAAACTTCTGCTCATTCTCAACCTAAAATAGTTTCCCGCAGACGTATGACAAATGCTGAAACTCACCAGCCAAGTCAGCAGGCAGTCTCGGATACAACATTCCCGTCCTAGCAAGCCACTCAAGCTGCAACGGATGAATATGATGAGGTTGCTGTTGAGCCTGCTGTTGCGGATGCCCAGGTACTGAGCCTCCAGTAGCACCACCAGTCCTAGGATGTCCTTGCACTAACTGCTGAGCATCCTTGTGTATCGAGTGAAAGGCACTCGAAGTACCACCGGGATGGTAATACAACCCAGAGGGATGAAGAATAGGTCCTCCCGAGTGTAGGAGAAGACCCTGCTGATTCTGTCGCATTGCGACGGCCACGTTGACCCCAGTGTTGCCTAGTCCATATGGTCCCACACAGGACAGTCCATCCGTTCTGTGACCAGAATGACCAAGACCCTGCATGCCCGAGTTGGTCAATGGATTGGACGCCAAGTCTTCGGATCCTGGGGATATCGGGGGACTAGATACAGGACTCCGACTGCCGTTGCTACCTGGACTTGCACTGGAAGTTCTCCTTCCCGCTTCGTCCTCCCTCATCTCCTCGACATCAACGTCGGTTCCAGCCTCGTCCTCTGTGTTCTCCTCCGGATTTCTTTCGAATCTGCCAGCATGATCCGCCAGCGCATCACCCGGATTCGGATTAAAGCTACCGTAATGCGATAATCTGATTCCGCTGGACTCTCTGATCGCCTGCAGCATCCTCGAATTCTGGTTATTACTGATTCCAGAGAGGTTACGATCACTCCTGGGCATGAATGGGTTCAGAGGGTTCCCCAGAGATCCCGAGCTGCGTCGGGGAGGCGGTGGCGGAAGAGGACCTCCATGATCATCTTCCTGCTTAGGTTTAGCAGTCGCTCTTCCTAAAAGAGCGTCGATACAGAACGACGATTTCCCGGATGCGCGTTGTCGTCCGGGGGATGACTCCCTGGTGTCAGGTCCTTCCGGCGAGCACATACCGGTTTCACTGTAGCAACGATCGTCATTGGAATCCTCGCGGAAACGCTTCGCTGGGGGCGGATGGCTTTCGTCACTTGATAATAATTTGGGATTTGATTCGTAAATCAAGAGGCGGGAGTTGACGTCAGTGTCTGAGGAGTCTCTCCTGGATTCACCACTTGTTATGTAGTTTATGTTACCTGAGCTGAGGGGTGAGGCGGCATCCGGCGAGCGGGCCTCCTCGGAACTAGGTGAGGCGGCTGGTTCGTCCAGGTGATAGGGGTGTCTGGGGTGTCTCGGGTGGTGAATGTCCTCGGCTACCATCGTCGTGTTGTAGTGCATCGCAGCCATGTCTCAATCACTGTGAGCCTCAATGCCTCATCTCCAATCACATCAAGCTTAATGGTAATCACTGTTTAACATTCGGATGACGAAGCTGGGGTAGCACTTGAACTTTGTCAACTTTTATTACTGCACTGAAGTCCAATGATCCCGTCAACTGATAATGACGGGCTTTAATCATCCACGGAAACAGTCAATTTAGCTCACTACCTCCACGAGGAATTTGTTGACTGCGACCGGTGGAGTCGACTGCGTTACCTCGCAAAGTGGAATCCGACGGTCGTGTGTGGGACACCGCGTGCGTTCGTTCCAAAAATCTTCCCCTTCTCTTCGTCACACACACGTATACAGACTCATCTGGTTTTCTGGTCTCTGGTGCGGCGTTTGGCGATTTAATCGGAGGGGTATGTGCCCCGCCCCCGACTCATCCAGCACACGCTCAACCGATCGACGTTCAGAGAACCGAGCCCCGCCCTTCAACCACCCACCCATCGGGGGGAGAATTTTCGAGCTGCGGAGAAGGGATGAGAGACAACTGGCGCGCAGATGAACCTCGGATGCTGCGGCACGTTTTCCCTCTTTTCTCATATACGAATTTTTATGAATTTGGCGAGGGGGTGGCAGATCTTTTGCGGATTTCTCAGCCAATCCTGGTGTCTCCTTTGCCGACACTTGGATGGATAAATGGGAAAGTTGGGAGGAAATGTACACTGCACTTCTGTGTATCGGGCACTTTGCCAGGATTCGGTGGGTCGTTGATGTCCCGGAGAGACTGCGGAGGGGAGATTGGTCGTTGGAGTGTTTGAGGAGAGAGGAAAATTGAAGTTTTTCGAAGAAATCCTCCGTGGATGACTATTGGTAGTGATTGAGGGAGGGGTAATTACTTGGTGCGGGAAGATCATGAGCCAGATTTGGGGCATTCAAATCGTACGTCACGCGCAAAAGCCCCGTTTTTGGACTTTTTAGATCCCTTCTTTTCCTGGGTCATATGCAAACCCCACTTATGTATTAGGCTGTTAGAAATTACTTCCAATTTCAGCCACAGCATCATATGAGTTTTCGATGTTGTGAGGTTGATTTCAATTTCAAATGGAAGCGGCCACTAAATCTCTGATTTATCTTGAAAATTCAAGAAAAATGGGTTTTTTATGTTAAATTATAATTATTAAATTATAATTATAAAAAAAGAAAATTTTATATCATATACAATTCAGTTTACAATAGATTGAGAATTCAGAAAGTTTGTTACTTGAATTTTCAAAATTTTCAAAGTTTTTCACCGCCGCATGGATTTGAAAATCGAGAATTACTTGAATAATAAAAAAAAACTGATTTGTCAATGAAGAAATATACAGAAATTTCATGCAACTTTATCGTTTTCTAACAGTGTACCTCACAAATTCACGACGACGTTATGTCGATTTTTTTTCATTAAATTGAATTGAAAAAAAGGTAAAGGATTGGGTAAATAATGAAATCTTCATGCAATGCTCTTCGAACATTTTAAAGTATTTAATTGTTGTTATCACAGCATTTCGAAATTCTTCTTTGCGAAATTGGGATGTATGTTTTGTCGTGAGGCAGAGAAAAATATTATATTTGCAATTCAATGTCGTTAATTATTTAGTCGAAATATAAGTACTACGCTGTTAAAAAAAAAAATTATTTCTTTATTCAAAATGTCAGGAAAGTTTTGTAGTATTTTCCAAGAGAGCGACATTGAATTCGGTTTGGGCGGGAAACGACCATGAAATTTCAGATTTAACTGCAAATTCAATGACATTGCAAAAATTTGAGCATCAGGAAGTCATAAATTTCCTGCACTCGTTTGAATTTTTTATAAAAACGTGAATATTATTATTACGTACTAAATTACTCAGAGTGTTCAATTAGATGAAAATCGAAGAATATATTCGTCTGAATTTGTCTGATGTCCATTAACTTTTATGAACCAATTGAACTGAAATTTATTCAATTGATTTCTCCATCAAATTGTGAATTTTCAAGGACGAAACTTCTTGAAATTTTACTGGAACTCTCGCTTGATAAAAATGACTAATAAGTGTGCACTGGAAGCAAAAAATTAAAATTTCATGGACTGCTATTTGTTATACAGAGAGAAATGCTTTATTTTAATTGAATAAACTTTATTTGAATCACATGAATCCTATATTAGAATCAAATAAACAATTTCTTTGATTTAAGTAAAGCTTATTCAATTCAAACAAACCATTTTTCTGTGGGTACTAATTTTTAGGAGAGTGGCACTGAATTCGCTTTGGGCGGGAAAAATCATAAAATTCCATGACATTATAAATTTTTGAGCCGCAGAAAGAGGAGAATTCCTCCACTTATTTGAATTTCTAATCACGACATGGCTATTAAGTGCGAAATTACGCTGAATTTTCAAATCAATGAAAATTCAAGAAAATATTTACCAACATTTTTCTGATGTCGATTGAACTAAAATTTTGAGTTTCGACTTTTTTATCAAATTTTCCGAATTTTCAATGACTAAATTCCGTAAAATTTCATATTGACGAGAAGCAACAGCTCCAAAAATTAAGTTCAAGCCCAAAAATCTCTAGACTCCTGCGAATATGGTCGACATGTCACAGGCGATTGTTCTAATGGGCGCCAATGTTATACTTATCACGACGCAATTTCTCCCTCGTTATCAGTCCCACAATTTGATTCCAGTTTTTCGATACGATAGATCTTGATATTCCAAAAAACACTTGTGTCCATAATATTAATAGTACTCAAGGCATTGCCATCGAGCTAAATTTTCCTTAAAACGTACCATCTATTGCGTTGCTACCTATTGTCTTGGTCTGTGTGCTAACACGATAGGCGCCCCTAATCTCGATATCGATACAATGACAGCGGCGATGTAAACACAGTCCCACAGCGATTCCCTCTCACGTGTGTTGCTATTAGATTATTTACTCCACTTAATTTTTTCTGCTTCAATTACTAATTTAGAGGTATATTACTTGACACAATAGAAGAACGCAATTCCGTCTGCTCACAATTATAAAATTGCCGATGAACGAAAATTAATTATTATATTATACACTAACTCTGAATTTGAGGCATCGAATAATTGAATAAATTGGTAAAATGCACAATTTCGTCATTATTGTAATTATTATTTTTTTAAGTTGAGAATTCTTCATTTTTTCATATTATTTCTAAGTGCGAAAAAAGATTAGAGAATTAAAAACGGAAATCTCGGAATGCAGATTTCGAAAATTTTCGAAAAAGAATAGACTTGAACTGCTTTACCATTTTGCTCACGATATTTCCGACAAATTTCAGTCGAATGGTCAGACCTATAACTATTCAAAGCCTTGGTGATTATGAAAAAAATATTCTAAAAGAAAACATAATAAGGTCAGTGCACTTGCAATCTACCAAAAATTGATTCATTTAATTCAGAAGCAGAATAAATTAAGGAATTTGTGTTTCGGGTTTGGAATTTAGGATCCTGCGAAAAATGAGTCTGTGCCATTAGTTGACGATGATAATCCAGTATCAAAGTGGTAAAACACTTCAAGTCGAAATTTGCAACTTGTTCCAGAAGGGCTATAAAAATTATTGTGGTCATTTTAAGAGTCAATTTATATTTATATGAAAATCTCATTTTCGAAAAAGAATGGACTTGAACCGCTTTACCATTTTGCTCAAGACATTTCCGTGAAAAAACAGACACACTGATAAACTGATTTATTTATTCCAAATGACATTCATTATCTATTAACGAATGGTGGCGCTGAATATGACCAAATGAATATTCGTTAAAATTTTATAACGCTTTGTATCTAAAGCATCAAATGCGTTGATACATTTCAGTCGAAAATGGTCGGACCTATAACCATTCAAAGTCGTGGTGATCATGAAAAAAATATTCGAAAAGAAAAAACAATAAAACAAATATTCAACTGCACTTACAGTCCACCCAAAATTGATCCATTGAATTTGAAAAAAGTTCAGTAATTGATAATCGAGTGAACTTTGCAGTTCAATCACCTGGAAATATTGATTTGGGATCATGTGCAGCGATGAGTATGCGGTGTTGTTGACAATAATAATCGTTAACGGGCAAAGGGCTCTGGAGAGGGATCGGCTATTGAACTCGAACTAGATAACAGGTAATTTGGGAGTTAGAATGGGACGTAGAAATCAATTGGATTGGTATATTGTTCTATTTAATATGGTTGAGGTGTATTGATGTGGTGTTGACGCAGCAAGTCTTTGGAATTTTTGTCGGATTATTTTTTTTAAAACGTTTTTAAACGCTCTTTACATCAGGTAGAGCTCCCTGTAGGTCTTCGGGACACACTTGACGATACGAAACGTGTCATACTTTGAAATATGATGGATCACCAGCCAACGACTTGTGAGACACATAGTCATGGCTCTGAGGTAGCTGCATTAACGTTCGTATAATGTAGCCAAATAAGAGAATACGGGACGCTAGGGTAAATACACGCGAGAATGTTTGGATAAGAGGGGAACACCGATACCCGTACGTGGGTATTTCTCCAGTATTTCTTTTTACTATTTCTTTCTGAGACTGATATTTTTGTTTGGGAGCTGTCGTATGTGATCGTGCGAGCTGGCAGGTCCCCAGATTTGTTTCGATTTCGATTCGGGGAGCGACAGTAATCATTACTTTTTAGAATATTATGAAAATTATTGATGAATAGGGAGTGTTACACACGGAGAGAAATACTTAGTAAAAATTAAGGAACAATTCACGTAATCCGCAATGGGAAATCTTTTTTCGGCAATTTTTATAGGAATGGAAGAGAAGAAATCTGAAATTTTCAGTGAATTTTCAGGTTCATCACCGAACAAAGTATGAAATTGTCACGTAATTTTCCCCGAAGAAGTAAAATCTTACAGATACTTGCCGACTTATTATGCCTTCAAAGTAAAAAATTCTTAAACGTTCAACAATTTTTATGAAGCTGGTGAGTTATTTCTACATTCAGTTCCGTAAA